TATTTTAGAAGTTAAACCATGGTACACTATCCCCCTTCTGGAATAGCCGAGATATTCGCAGAAAACTATTCATTTTCCATAAAAATGACCGTATCCTTCAAGTATGTATGTGACGTGTTGACATTTTTGCCAAACAGTCTACCGAATTTGAATCATTTGCGGTACTATTCCCATGTCGGAAATTGAAGGCTAAGATTTCGATTTTTTGTTTAGCTATTGTCAAAAGAAAATAGTGCAAAAATTGGAAATAGAGCTTGAGTGAAATATACTTGACGGACGCCCCAGGTGTTATTGATATGATATTGCTTTTGACTTTATTAACAAAGTAATAAAAATATATCATGTTTCAATATTCTATTATACTAACATTAAATGCTATCTAAAGCTAGAAAAATATTGATTTTTGTTATAAGTGTTTGAGGCCCTTCAGACCGATGTGGCTCCCTTACTGCGCTGCGCGCGACCGTACGTCGACCAGAAAATCTACAAGGTCGCCGTCAAATGCGAGCACAATCGCGCCCTTGCGATTATACCGCGTTCTCATGGCGCCCACATCGTCTCGATTAAATAGCGATGATAGGCTTATGGCGTTTCTACAAAGTGTATGTAGTGTACCAACGTAAGCGTGACAGTTCATCGCGCGGGGTATATGGCTCAACAAGAGGATAATAAATTTTTAGCAAACTGATGTTTTCATCGTTTCAGAAAGATCTGGTCTTATTTCTAGATATTTTTACATGTATACGTGAATGTCTGTAACAATATCCTGATGTCACGCTTAATTCGGTTGTACCCTGTGTTCTATTGAGATGTTATCTTTGCAATTCCCATTACCAGTGCGTACATTGTGTTCATTAAGTGTCATGGCCCCCTCCCCTAGGGTGGGCCAAGAAAAAAAGTTAGGGCCCCAAAAGTTTTCGGGACAAAATTTTGTAGGGCCTCAAGAAATTGGCCTTTTTGGGCATAGCTTGGCTTTTGGACCTTTTAAGGCCAAATAATCTATTTTCTAGTTTTTAGTTTTAGGGGCACACACCTTTTCCTGACTTGAAACGTGCCCCCTCCCCTTCTTAGCCAGGGCAGAACTGTAAATATGCTGTTCCCCTTTTATACCACGCGTGTTCTAAGAGTATTGTGGCTGCATTGCGACATTGCGTTTCTACCATATGATCATGGCGACTTCATAACCCCTCCTCGTTTAAAAGCTGGTCATCAGATGTTTGGAAAGTTCAAGATGATCACCGGACAGTCAATTCTTGAAAATAGTATAATTTTGTTATTTTTCAATTTAGAAATGAAAAGATCAGGAAATAATATTTACTGGCTATTGAAATGAGCTATTTATAGATAGTTTATGTATTTTATCAATAGGCAAATAATACTTTCGTTGGAGATTTTCCTGAAAAAACTTGTGCCATTTCAAAAGTGTAACATTTTCCCGCTAATCAAAAACAATGTATCAAACTCATGCCTTGTACTCTCTCTGAAACCAATAGAAAATATGTTATAATCATGTGTGTATATATATTCTTATATTCCCAACAGTATATCATATTGATATTCAAATACAAATGAGACAATTGTACCCTATATATACTGTATGTATATCGATGTTGAGCCAATATTATAAAAATATTTTAACAAGGCATGACATGACATGACAAAATATCATTACCCAGTTGCTCGCAATATATGAGGATTTAAGCCTTGAACTCAGTGCATTGTGTGCTGAACCATTCCACGAAGATGTTGTTTCAAAATCTTTGCATGACCCCGCAGGGGGAATGCAAAGTTTAGGAAACAACATCTGAGTGGAATGAGGCAGCCACAATGCATTGAGTCTTGGGGTTAAAACCTTTTCACACATTGCAAAATATTTTCTATAAAATTGAAAGAATGAAGACTGCATTTAAAATACTTCTCAACAAATAAATTATTTTCACGATAATGCTATTTCTTCGTCATGAAATTAAATGTTCTCATTCTGTAGCCTAATTTAAAAAGACCCATATTATCTTTTTAAAAAGAATCATTATGAAATTCTTTTCAAATTTAAAAAATCCTGGCTTAGAGAAAAATCAAAAGTAACAAATCAGAGACACAATAAGATATTGATTCACCAAGAACAGAATAAACAGTATTTCATTTCTGTATTCAATCAATACAAACATGAGATAAAATCAGATTTTCGGCAAAGAAAGAAAGAGAAAAATTCATTATTACATGAATTATACTAATTTAATTGCATGATATACTGTATAAGTGGTAATTTTGCCTAATCATTTTATTTGCCTATTGCCTAACTTTTGCCAGGCTCGGAAAATTAAATGTCGGAAATATTGTCTTCATAATGTTATCCAATGGGAAGTTTCTTGTCATTAGGAAAATTAAAATTAGGAAATTGATAAAATTTGAACATTCGGCAAATTAACCGCTTTGATTAAATACCACTTGTACAGTATGCATGACTATTGTGATTATCGCCATAATGTATATTATACAATCCTGTTTTTGATTAAGAGTCAATTGTGATGTCACAAAAACAATTGGAAACGTTTACAACATGGCAAGTGCTGCAATATTATACGGTCATCATATCTCACTAAAGTCTTCATAATTTCTCTTATATATTAGAGACCACTTTCTCAATTCCTTACCCAGCTCAAATCAATCCAGCTTTTAGTTTTCACACTAGTTGTCACGTACCACGGGAGATAAGCAAAACGAGGGCGAAGCCACGGACTGCGACTCGCGTAATTCAAAACGAGGTTACAACGCATTATAGCTGAACAATGGCGGTAAGTCCAAACTTAATTTGGAAGGCATGTTAGGATTTGGGGTAGATTATTGGTTTGGATATTCTACAGAATAGCTAGTATGTTCCAGTCGGTGATCAACATATTCATACTCCACCTGCAATGGCATTCTTGGTGCTCGGCTGTCCAATAGTTTAGCATGAACACAAATGAATTCGAAATCTGCCACAAAAAATGTAATTTTGTCAATATTTGTCCCTAATATACCGATTTAATCAAAGGAATCAGAAATGACATCGAATTAATATAATTATTCATGTTTTGTTGTTACAATTACATCTTCGTGTGATATTTGGTAAGCGGAAAACGTACAATTACATAGAAAATTGGAATTTATAATAGTCGCAGTCCATCCATCTGCCCAACGCAGTCCGCGACTCAGTGTTGCTTTATATCTGAAGCTGAACGCAATCACAGCCAAAGGTAGATAGCACAATGTGTGTACAGGTGTGGCCGAAATGGAGCAACTTTGGACAAAATTGAATATAAAGGGCTATTTTAATAGACCTACATTGTGTCTCAATCCATTCTGCAAATATATACAAGCTGTCAAATACAGCTGAAATCATGAATTTATGGTAGCTAGCAATATTGATGGACTGTTGGAAAGATCATCCAAAATTACATTAACTCACCAACTCTCCAATTATTTGATATTTTCCTGATATCTTAAATACTAGTTAATGTACCCTTCCCCAACAGCTTTTATTGCATCATCAAAAAGTTAATTGTTTCGCATTTCCACTTCTTATAAAAAGTCTCACCACTATCCAATTATCTATATATTTAACCCTATCCACAAATTGGTTTGTAATAAACATATTACGTTGTCATCTTGCGCTCGACTGTTCTGCCAAATACGCTATTGAATTGCCATATTTCTAGGTCTTAAACGATACAATATAGCAATTTGGGACATTGATTCAGGTAATAGATATATGTTAATCAACGTAACTTTGAATGATAATCTGGATGCTGACTTTCTTTTCCTGAAACAATAATAGCGTAGGAATATAGTTTACACTATCTTATTTATTTCGTGTTCGCGGCTGGACTGCGTTGCTTAGAATATCAATGAAGGCTGTGTTGCGTTGTTGAAATAGCTTTGTTTACTGGACTGCGTCCACTATGGATGCGCAGTTTGAATCTAATTTTCTCCTCATGAACACATTCTATTATCAAATCATTTTCACGAATTATACTCGGAGCCTCAACTAACCTTTAGATAGTAGAAACGTGTTAAAACTCCTTTCAAATGTATAGTAAATTAAACAATATGCACATATTTTACAGGTAAAATCAGAACTTTGCAACTGTTTTAGCTTGATCTGGACAACTGCTTATTTTCTTATCTACAGACCAACAGTAGATACAGAGTAATATTTTGGTCACCGATTAGACACTACGATAGCATTTAAAATACCTGGATTTCTCTATTTTGTCGGAAGAAGCAGAAGGCACTGCCGGATGTCCCTCCGTTTTGGCGCTGGGCTGCGGTGTAAAGTTACGCGAGTCGCAGTCCGTGGCTTCGCCCTCGTTTTGCTTATCCCCCGTGCGTACAGGCTAACGATGTGCTTTCATAATGCACGGCATTAGCTAATTGTATTCATAAATATGGTCTCTCTCTTTTTTCAGAGCCCGAGACAAGTAAGCATATTTGACATTATTTACTCACGTATTTGTACTTCATCTCAGACATAAATAGATGTACATGTCAGTGATACTACGACCGACTATATCATATGGTTCATATCATATCATAATAATTATGTCAGGTTTTAAACTAGAGCCTGTTTATGGCTCATCTTATACTGAACATCATACTTTGAAGTTTGTTGATTGTTCCATACTAATTGTTTATTTATAATTTGTTCTTTCCTTTCAGATCCCACGACAAGTAAGCACATTTGACATTATTTATTCATGTATCTGTACTTAATCTCAGACATAAATAGATGTAAATGTCAGTGATACTACGACTATATCATATCATGTCATAATAAAAGGTTTCCAAACTAGAACCTGCTTATGGTTCATTTTTTCTGCACATCATACTTTGTAGTTTGTTGATTTTTTCAAACAAAATCAGAAAAATGCAGCCTAACTGCTTAAAGTTTTTGTCACCATACTTTGTTTATTTTTTCATACAGCTAGTTTATCCCGTAGATACATGCAGGAAATTCTAATATGTTTAATCACACTATGCTTACAGAAGAATACGGAGCCTGGAAAAGTCCTATTACAAGTGAGATTGTCAACGATAGACGAATTGTATTTAAAGAGGTTGTCAACGATCCGACCATGCCAGGTAATTTGACGATTCTTGTCGTACGATGCACCAAAATACGATGACGCTATTACTTGAATCTGTTATCGTCAACGCACACAGTGATTCAAAAACTGTTCAAACGATTGAGATTTGCCATGTCGTATACAATAACAAAAGTGTACATAAGTATACAGGGTGTTTCATAATGACCGTCCCATATCAACCACTAATCTTAAATAGCATGCCCCATATGTTATATCAAACAAGAACACAAATGTGTACAATATGTCCCAACCAATGGGTGATCCTGTCAAATGGTTATCTTGAAATGAGTAGACAAGACTTTACCGATCCGTCAAATAGTAAACCAGAAAACACGTAAACAAGACTTTACAGACAAGATTTTAGGACGGAAAATCCAAAATGGCTGCCTTGACATTTACCCAGAATGCCAAAAAACTAATCAGATCTAGATTTTCATAATAAGAATCATCCCTGAAAATTTGAAATTGATCTACCAAATGGTTCACCTGAAAACGCGTAGACAAGACTTTACAGACAAGATTTTAGGACGGAAAATCCAAAATGGCTGCCTTGACATTTACCCAGAATGCCAAAAAACGGATCAGATCTAGATTTTAATACAAGGAATCATCCAAGAAAATTTGAAATTGATCTTCCAAACGGTTCACCTGAAAACACATAGACAAGACTTTACAGGCAAGATTTTAGGACGGAAAATCCAAAATGGCTGCCTTGACATTTACCCAAAATGCCAAAAAACTAATCAGATCGAGATTTTCATACTAAGAATCATCCCTGAAAATTTGAAATTGATCTACCACACGATCACCTGAAAACGCGTAGACAAGACTTTACATACAAGATTTTAGGACGGAAAAATCCAAAATGGCCGACAATAAAAAAGTGATCGTGAGTTTTTGCTGATTTCCTTTTACAAAATTGTCACATATAACCACTGTTAACAATAACATAGGCGTTTACAACAAAGTACACCTGAAATTATTTATAAAGCTACTAAATAGTTAAAGAATGAAAAATCGAAAACACCGTTCAATATGAAACAAAGCATTATCGCGCGCTAACTTTTCTTAACTGACATGACTGAGCTAACAGGTCGAAAAGCTATTCAGATGTAGAATGAAGTAAGCTGAACAAGATGTTAAAGTTTTAAAAGCAACCGTGAAGCAGTTTTTCTTAAAGATTGCAGACAAGGATTTTAGCATTCGACTTCAAAATGGCCGACAGGAAGTAGGTATCGAGGTGTCACTACGGTAAATCATTGAAAAATATTGAAAAAAATCACAAAATTCAAGTTCTGGGGTACATATCGCCATTTTCGAACGAACTAGCCCATACAATGACTATATTTCTGAGTTCCCCTATACATAACCTTCATCTTGACACTATATTTAACATAGGGTTTGCGTCTCGATTTTTAAATATCACTACGCCAACATAGGGACTCATTTTTAGGTAAAATCCCTACTTCACCGATGAAAATTAACGAGTAAAGTAGTTCCAGTTTACGGGACTATATTCTTGCGATTTTTTTCTTAAAATGGCACATTTAGAAAGTACTTGGCCTCAGCTTTACAGACATACCTCAAATGGCCACATTGCATACACTTAAACCTACTATACACACCATTGAAGTTGGCATGGCTTCGTTTTTAAAGTATTAAAAAACACTGTCCTACCCGGAAGTGCTATTTACAGGAGTGACACCTTAATACCCAAAACGGGAAAATTTGAATATGATAATTTCTTGCTCATTTGGCATTTTTCCAACAATTGAGTTATTTCATGCTCGAAACAGCTGCATTTCCAAACTTTTAACACGTTTTCTACAAAATCTAGCCATATTTGGGGAAATAGGTGAGGGCTGAGTCTCTAAAAACTGGCCAAAATGACCTAAAATTGGGTCATCAACTTAAGAGATCTCATGCAAAAATTTTAGACGCAAAATCTCCGAGATTATTTCATTTTGTCAATCATTATAGCAATGCCTTTCAAGTATTACAAAGAATGAACTGAAATGTATGTTGCTAAATGCAGATATTTCGAGTCAAATGTGGTCCCCATGTGCAAAATTTGCCCTTTTTCTCCTAATTACGCCAGTTAGGCCCCAGTGTATTGTGACATCATACTCATACCATTGCTACAATGTAGCAATTTACAAATTAATCTTGATTACTCTTACTGTGATACACCTGGCGTGTTTATTAAGCACGTAAAAATGATAATTTGCAACATTGTAGCAATTTAAATGAGGTATGGAACCCTAAAATCATGTAATTTATGGAGAAATGACCAGCAATTTTGATGGAATTCCAGCTGATTTTCTCCCATTTATGATCCCTTTTGACCCCCGTTTAGCCCCCGTTTGGCCATTATGATAGGCACAGGATGTTTAAATGTGAATTAAAAGCATCGTGTGGCCTAGCCTGAATGTAAATATCGACTCTATTTTGAAATTCTACAACATCCATGCCTTCCATGGTCTCTGCGCAAATGGCAGCCAATCTAAGGCGGGGGTATTAAGGTGTCACTACGGTAAATCATTGAAAAATATTGAAAAAAATCACAAAATTCAAGTTCTGGGGTACATATCGCCATTTTCGAACGAACTAGCCCATACAATGACTATATTTCTGAGTTCCCCTATACATAACCTTCATCTTGACACTATATTTAACATAGGGTTTGCGTCTCGATTTTTAAATATCACTACGCCAACATAGGGACTCATTTTTAGGTAAAATCCCTACTTCACCGATGAAAATTAACGAGTAAAGTAGTTCCAGTTTACGGGACTATATTCTTGCGATTTTTTTCTTAAAATGGCACATTTAGAAAGTACTTGGCCTCAGCTTTACAGACATACCTCAAATGGCCACATTGCATACACTTAAACCTACTATACACACCATTGAAGTTGGCATGGCTTCGTTTTTAAAGTATTAAAAAACACTGTCCTACCCGGAAGTGCTATTTACAGGAGTGACACCTCGAGCTTAAAATCTTTCGTCCACATCTGTATGCACTCATAAGTTATCTCTGAAAATTTGAAGGTGATATCTATAGCGGTTTTGGAGAAAACTACCGGACGTACGGACGGACGAACGGACGGACAGGCAGACAGACAACCGGATGCGCCTAGCTTTAGCATAGAATCTAAAAGCCATTTTTCCAAATTTGGCCAATTTTCCGTTCCCATCCTCTGTATCTGTTTATATAATTATTCAAAAATTACGTTACGTTTCATTACAGATAGAATATATTGGTCAGAACTGAGATTTAAAGCAGGGGGACGATTTATAGTATGTTCCAAGGACAAGGGCAATCCAAACGAAACATGCTATACAGATTCAAAGCATAGTGCCAGATCAATTGTTAATGGATATGGTGGAGGTGCTCTGCTCGTTTATAACTCTACAATATACTTTGTAAACTATAGAGATCAGAAAGTCTATAGACAAAAGGTGCCAAATGGTAAGGCAGAGGTGTTAGTCAACTCATCCAAAATATATCATGCTGATGGAAGCATTTCACCTCAGGTATTGGTATTAGGGTCCATTTTAATTTAGTCACATTCACGCTCACTGGATGGGTACTTTGACATATATTTTGCGTCTATACACAAAGTGCCACCCATCTTTTGTGACACAATTATAATGATTTTATTTGTGGCAACTATAGCATCTTGTGTTCAATTGAATTGATTTTCTTTCTCCCTGCAAAAGAACAAGCAATTTTTGTATTAGTTATTTAGAAAAGTTTGGTTCATTTTATTTATTTATAATCTAGGTATGCCTGCAAATGAATCGACGACATTTAGAGCACATCTTGTAACGCCCATAAAAGTGCATATAGTTGAGCTATCTACATCAATATAATTCTGTTTTTTAGCTGAATCGAATTTTCTATGTGCGTGAGGATAACAGTGTTAGACCTGTAATCACCACGATTTCTAAGGTAGATCTTGCCACCGGAAAGGAAACAATTATTGTGAGTAAAGCATTTTATATTAAACAGTGAATATCGGATTGTATTAAATGGTCCAGAAATTGTGGGAGGGAAAGGAATATTTTTGGGGTATGTTTCCCTAATGACTGGATATAGACTTCGATCTTTCAGAAACTATTTTGTAATAATGTAAGAGTTTCCTCGATTTCATTTGGGGATATAAAAATTAATTAAATACATTTGAATATTTAGGTTTCAATATTAAGTGGGTTTCATCTTAGCCTTTTAACATTCAACATGATTCTTACATTATTCGCTGTTTGATGTAGTTCACAAATGAATCCAGTCGTCAGGAATCATGCAGGATTCACATGAAAAATAGTTCACAAATAATTCCGGTGTTCAGGATTCATACACGTTTTCATGTGGCAAATACAGGGTGTCCCAGAACTCATGAAAATTTTTTGAGGGAGATATAAGGCATGGCTGATTTTTCTTCAAATTTAGTACACTTATTAAACACACTTTGGGGAATAACTGACATGAATTTCAGGCACATATCTTCTATATTTCCGAATTTATTGACATTTGAATTCTACATCGCCACAAACCCCGGAGTTATCGGGAAAATACAACAGTTTATGTCACATTTTTTCAATTTTATACAAATTCTCAACTATAGAACCAACCAACCATAAGCTTAGTTCAGCATTTTTCTCATATTGATGATGCACTTTGATAAAACGATATGTAAATTTTGATAGAGACCCAATACATCAACGGATTGTACATTTGGTTTGCTGAAAGATCCTAATGACATGTTCCTGAGGGACTGAAAGAAATGTCCCCATTTGCTAGCCAATATGATCTTGCATATTGACAATGCATCAATGAATAAGTCACTACATGCATGTCAGTAGTGCATCCAATTTACTTTCTATTGAGACTTCACAGTATATAGTAGCTCCATATACTTGCCAAGTATTTTGCTCTACTAGACTTTTGATTTCTTTGGGGACCTTAAACAAAGATTAATGCGCCATGTCACTGAAACGGAGGAAGAATTGAGTCTTGTTGTTACAGAGGACCCTACAGAAATGGCTATTGAACGATTTGGGAATCTAGAGTAGCTGAAAAGACGACATCAACTGCAGATAATATGCTATAATAACTCTGTAGAGATACGTTAGCTGAATGTGTATGATCATATTAACTAATGTACTGAAACGCTGAAATAATTCAATGAAAACAATGCTATTAGAGTAGAGAAGTGTGAATATTATCAAAATGTGACATAAATTGTTGTACATGTATTTCTCTGACTACTCCAGGGTTTGTGGGGATGTAGAATTCAAATGTTAATAAATTCTGAAATATAAAAGATATTTATTTATTCCACAATGTTTGTTTATTAAGTGCATTTAATTTGAAGGAAAATCATTCATGCCTTATATCTCCCTCAAAAAAATCTCATGAGTTCTGGGACACCCTGTAGTTTACAAATGAATCCAGCCGTCGAGGATAGACTAGATGCAAATATAAATAATCTTACGTCATTAAAAATTTAAAATACAGTCAAGGTGATTATTATTGAATTTGAAATCTACATGAAATATTTATTTCCGTGTTCTCCACATAGTAATTACACAATGTTTTATCAATTATGTATTTCTGATATAATAGCTATTCTTTTGCAAGAAAGAGATTTAGTGATTGTTTTGAAAACCGTCAGAAATAAGTAGAACCTAGAATATGAAAAAATCTCCTAACCTCTCAATTGGAATAGATTACAGGTCATAGCCTACATTAGCATGAGGGTAATATGAAAATTGAGCCACTAAAACTGATGAATATGCAACTTTAAGAGGACTTTATTATATCTGACGTGCTAGCTGCCCCGAATTAGCAACCTGGTGATGAAAGTGGTAGCTACCTTCTCGCATCTGGGCTATTATGCAGACTCTATATGAAAAATAGTTTACAAATGATTTATGAGATGAAATGAAGATAATATAATATTTTAGAAGAAATAACGATCATCCTTTACAGATTAGATTGAAATACCTGTAAGTTAAGTATGACAAAGTATAAAAACACATAGAAAGGTAACAACTGGGGAAACGAATCCTCGGCACCCCGAGGATGCAAAAAACATTTATGAAAGCATCAACGTGATAGTGCCTTGTGGTATCAATACACTTTTTATTACTATAATTTGCTCGATTAATACCGCCCTTGAATAAGACTATTAAGAAATCAAATAATTATCAAATCATCCACATAGATGTACTGATTGTTACATTGCATATAAAAAGCATCACTGGTAAACTGGTAAATCAAAGCTTGCACACGGAGTGTGATAATCCTTACTCAAACCTGTCAATTTAAGCATCAACCTGAATGATTGTTTTATATAGGTTGACAGTGAATACATATATCGAATGCATATATATTATATATATAGGTTGACAGTGAATACATATATCTAAGGATAAAGCCCTGAATGTATGTGGAATAATCATTCCTTGAAGCTGTTGCTTTTCAAAATTTCCTTGGACTTAAAATTCTTTCACACATCGCAAAATATTTTAACATGTCGTTTAAATCATACGAAATCTAAAGGACACATTTTCAATGAAACGTTTGACAAGGGTAAAATTGACAAAGCATCGATTTCAATCTGTAGAGTCAATTTGTCACCTTGTAAACCATCCAAGGAATGACCTTGGATGCGGCGATTGGATATTTAATGCACTGAAGTTATTTGAAATACTATTGGATTGCCTGTCACCTTTATCAAAGTGACAGTCATATTACTTGAACCTTTTTTCAATAAATGGATTTACAAATCAATCACTGGTAAATAAATGCATTATTTTGCGATCAAGCTTATTTTTGTATGAACACAATTCTCAAATAAAGTAAAATGGTCCCCTAATCAATACATAGTTTTTGCTGATACCGTTGGACCAATATAGTTTATACGTATATGCCCAAGTTCTGCTCGAGGCCCGATTTTCAAAATGGCTATCATTTTCAAAATGGCCGTCATTTTAGTGTCAATTTTACAGCATTTTAGTTACATCAATAATTATAACTGTAATATTACTATGTTTCAACTGCAAAACATATATAGGATAGTTAACACACACCTTTATACTACCAATACAATACCACGAACAACCAGGATATTTAACATAATTATAGGATATCCTATGATTTTGAGGAATATCATTTTTATCTACGAGGTGATATTAATATCTGCACGAGAGAGCGAAGCGAACGAGTGCATATATCAATATCACCGAGTAGATTAAAATGATATTCTGAAAAAAAATCATAGGATGTTCTTATTATCCTACAGTTACAAGGAGTGTACTGAATGCACAATATCATTGTAAAATGAATTTCATGCCAAATAGAGTCAATTTGGCGGGAAATCAACAAGCGGAGTATATCGTCACAATATCCTCCGCATATTGGGTTTTCTGGAGTATATCGTCACGATATCCTCCGCCCGGAGTATATCGTCACGATATCCTCCGGATATTCATTTTGCCAATAAATATCAAATTTATTTTTTCATGTTATTATACATTTAGTACACTAAGTGTAGGATAATATAATATAACTTCATTCAACCAGAAGTCAAAATACAACTGAGTGATATTATCAATATTTTCGTGAAAAGGTATCGGTTTTTCAAGAAATTGTCGTGCTTTCTACAGGTTTGAGAAGTTTTGACCGTGTTCAGACGAAATGTCCAGACGTACTGTTACTAGAGGTATATTTCCATGGTATGGTTAATGTTTCTACGAAAAGGAAACGACCATATTGTGTCAAAACGTCGAAATAAATGAGTACTTACATATCTCCCTCCGAAAATACTAACGTCGTAATCTTCCGGTGCTACGACGTATAAGAGAATGGGTTGTGTGATTTAGTAACTCAATTTGGGAGAAACATGAGATCATTGTGACCGGGTACTCGGATAGGAATAGAAAACAAAACACAACAACATAACAACATAACGTTAAAATATATGTTTTAGATTGAAGGTGCTGATTTTTACAGTTCTCCCCGAGTTTCCCCAGACGGGAAGAAGATCGCATGGGTCGAATGGAATTTTCCTAATATGGTATTTCAGTATTCTTAGTCTATTATGCTAATTTTCCTCCTACAGTAGATGATGTAACTTCATTATAAAATTCTGATATGATAAATTAAACACATACGTCTCCAAATTGAAAAGTTACCTTTCTGAACCTTTTGCCATCTATTAATGCCATTAAAGATGGATCTAGAGAATATTTACTGTAATAAAATAACAGATATAATCCGTATCTTCACCATGTGCATGTTATTGTAGCCATGGGACAACACTTCATTATATACGGCCGAGCTTTCAAACAGCGGGAGTATTGTAGAAAATACAATTTTTAGGGTAAGGAAACATTTAATAAGTATACGATTATAGGGAGAACAAACGAATGACAAAACTGAAATGCATCAATGTGTAGCGTGTTTTGATTAAAACTTGTAGAATATAACTGATAAACAAACATTATAGTCTGCTGTTCGATATACTGTACTCTATCGTTCGAGCCCATGTTGCTGTTACATTTCCAGAGAGTCTGAAGAACTTCATGTAGTAAGATTCATGTTGTTTAGCTCATAAGTTCCCCTCTTAAAGGAACATTCCTTGCCAGACTATTTCTCTCCTGATATGGTAGCTACAATCATATATATATACTTTACATATTTAGCAAAACACGGGAAAATGCTTTCATATGGTCAATATTGATCATTTAAAAAATGTAGTACTCATTCCCAGTAAGCTGCCATCTTTTCAGATTTCTTTCAGGAAGTGATGTCATCGACTCTCACCTGTTATAACCTTGTCTATTACAGTATAGGAAAGAAGTACAAAATCACTTCTAAACAAGAAGCTCTTATCTTCTGAGTAAAAATATTTTCAGGAGTTGTCAACTTAGAACTAAAGAAGAGATCATCAAAAGGATTTTAATCATAGACCAAATTGAAAAAAAATATTCAGCTGGTTTAGTAATTCGAATAGCTCCTTACCTAATGTTATATGCAAATTTGAGAGTCGATGCCATCACTTCCTGAGTAAAATTTTAAAAGATGGCAGCCTACTGGATTTGAGCACTACATTCTTAAGTGATCAATATTGACCATTTCAAAACATTTTTCTGTTTTTTTTTATGAACTTGCAAAGTATGTATATGGTTATAGCTACCATATTAGGAGAGAGATGGTCTGGCAAGGAATACCCCTTTAACTAAAATGTCGAAATGGAATTGTCAATATCAGATTTATCAGGTGTTAACGTATTTTGCACAATATTATGATTTATTAATATTAAAATAAGGTGTCTGCCGACGGAGAAAGTGCGATTGAACCAAAATGGAGTCCTCAAAATGAACTTTATTATATCTCGGACAAGACCAACTGGTGGAATCTATATCGGGTTCTTGAAGATGGAACTTCTAAAATAGTTTTGAAAAGGGATAAGGAAGCATGTCAACCACCCTGGAGATTTCACATGAACTATTATGATTTCTACAAACGAAAGATCATTTCAACCTATGACAGGGTAAAACATTTTGGTATAAACAGGCTTTTCATCATCAAAACCGATCGGAAACAATTCGGCTGGGTCAAATATCAAAAGTCCACACAAGCAATTCCACCACGATGTTTAATTTTTATCTTATTGAACGAAGTTCTGGCGATATAGAGAACGTCTCAGTTCGTAAGCATGTGCGTCCGTCCGGGCAATAACTTAAATACTGTTTGACCAATATCGTTTATATTTCATACGTATTTTACTGCTTATCTTATTTTATAGTACCTGCAAATGATAGACATGGATACTGGGGATGTACAAGATATCCCAACGGACTATCGCACTCATGTTAGATTACAGGCCTCATCGTCTGGTGATGTTTATCTTAGAGCTGAACATTCCACTAACACAGAAGCTCTCTTAAGGATCAATATTACCACATTAGAGGTATTACTATAGACGTCTAGTTTTTCAAGTACTTATATATGATATAGAAAACTATAATAATATAATATTATATTAACGCGGTGTATTCCAAAGAGAGATTTAACTTAAAAACAGGGTCTTTAAATAAATTTGACCCAAACGATTTGTCATAACTTATCATGACTGAAAACCCTTTTACCGATTGTGTTCATTCTGTCGGAAATTTAAAGCCCAGAATGCAAAGGGTTTCTAGAAGTCACCATGATTTGGACTATAAAATAAACGATGTATGCCATGGGGGTCAACAACTGCTCAACGGGTTCTACAGAGCCTCAATCAGTGATTTCAACAAGGTTACGCCACACCCCATACCACAAACCAGAGCTTGCAGTGGTTGCAGATACAGTTCGGCAATCGAATAATGAGCAGAAGGACTGAAAAGTGAATGGGTCTTCCATAGCCCAGACAAGAACCCACTAGATTTTTATCTGTGTGGGTTTCTGAAAGATAACGTCTACCAAGAAGTATTGCTGATCTGAAATGAGAAAAACAAGTAGAATCTAGCAGAAAACAGTGAAAGAATGCAGTCGTGTGATTGACCGTTTCTCCCTTAGAGTTCAAGTGTGCTTGCAGAGGCGATGTCGCTACCTGGAATATATCATGAAACCTAGAATAATTCCACAACTGCCGCCTGGTCAATTAAATCAATGCCATGTGTACCAAAAATGAAGTACCATATAGTCTTAGCAGTGTGATCCAATTTTTGAACACCCTGTATATTATTGCAACACGTTTTAATTAACGGAAGAATTCTGAATATTAAACTTTATTTTTGCTTATCCCAAATCGTGGTTTGAGCGTTGAACACTAACCCAGATATTGTCTCAATATAATGCAGTTACTTAATCATTGTAATTTCATATTATCATATGTTTTAGGTATCGGTTGTAAAAAAGTCCCAGATTCTTGATTTTGGCCCGGGTTATATCAGTCAACCACGTGAAATCGAATTCCCGACGGGTGACAATAACACTGAAGTAGCATATGGATACTATTACCCACCAACAGTAAGTTTTGTTGAAAATTGCTAAGAAAACAATTACATAACGATATACGAGTACAATAAGTTCCAGATGGGTTATGACCAATGTTGTCGATTAGAACGTAACGTGGACACCATTACTGTCTGTAAATCTGCAACATGTAGTCTTCTAAGACAGGAAAGGTAGCGTACAGATTAATCCCAATTTGTTGTGATATTAGGACAATTGTCCACCCGCATAAACATACTTGATCAAACCAGACTTATTTTATTGCTCGAAGGGCTAAAGACTATGGTATTTCAGTAAAGTTATCCATTTACTTTAAATTCTCTCGACCAGTCAAAACGATGTCACATTCCACTGATCTATATCGCCTTATTACTGGCCAATACACTATACCCACTGGTTAGTCTCAGGAGAAGGTATCGTCGGTTTGGACTCTGGATCAGAGTCTAATCTGACTGGCTTATATGACTTATTCAAACATGGCTATTTTGTGTTTTTCAATTGAATGCAGCATAGGCGTACTTTAATTCTCCATGCATGAACGACAGTGAATTATCTGGAAATCTAGGAAACGTTACATCTAATGCGAATTTTGACGAAATAATGAAAAGTAAACAATATTTTCTTCATTTTTTAAGTTTGAATGGGAGTAAATGATGATAGGCCATTCGATATGGTGCAATTCCACACTCGTTACTCGTTAGACAGATTGTCAGTACAAATCCAGTCATCTTCGGTTCGTGATATGACGATATTTTCCATCGTTTAAAGAAAGTTAACTTTATTTTTTGTTTCGCCAATGTTTCTAGGTAACTGATTTGTAGTGATACGGTAACGTTATGGTAGTTTATATTGGAGGGTTAAGATATTCTAATTCATGTAGCAATACAGGCTGATGCTTGTTGCTCTTATATATGACGTCATAATAGCTGTTTATAAAAACAAGTTCGTCAATGTTAGGAACAATGCTCGAAATTATAATATAGGGGATATTGAACAAATATTTCACTCTATTGAGGTGAATACCTGTACATCTTTCACAAGTGATATTCCACCAAGGGAAAGATCAATACCCGGTGATTTCAGCGGGAAGTGGCGTTTCGTTCATTGGATGAGCTGCGCGCGCACGCATAAATGTGATTATCCAATATAATTAGGGGAGGGCTATTTGAAGTAGTTTTTGGTCTCAGGCGCGACCCAGGGCTGTTGTCTTAAGGACATTTCGTTGAAAATGAGCCATTCGGCTGATAATTGGTAAGAGTTTGCGATCTTATAATGTATAACTGTTACTCAGACACATATTTTGACACGATTCTGTTGGAAATAAGCTTTGAACCGAGAGATATTCACGATTGATATGCACATTTTTGATTGTGCCATTGCTTTTCTATTGCACAACCCATGTATTGATAGAAGAAACATTAATAATACAGATTGGTTTACCTTCAATACATGGCAGACACTACATATCGGTCTATTAATACCAGTTTGTGCCTTAAATAGTTTTATATTTCCATCCACGGCCTGGAGCCTGGGTGTGTTTGTCTCTTATGTGTATGCTTGTGCATGGACTTCAAATCACTAGCAGAATTTAACATGATGCAAACTCGACATTATAACTCATGCTGTAACATTTTGACTTCGCTGGAAAACAATAGGAATTATTTTTCTTGCCAATCAATCATGAATCACAATTAAAATTTCAGAATGATCAATCAGGCAATGATCCAAATCAAGTTATAACATTATATGATATTCAGCAAGAAGGCCGGTAGAAATACAGAATATTTAAACATCAAAGCTGAAAGTTAAAAGCTAATCTGTCAATTTTCTGTCTGCAAAAGAGTGTCCCAAGAGCGTTTACATTTGACACAATAACAGACTGAGGCTTTGAAATCTAGGATTCCCCAGGAAAATATGACGTCATACTAATTAGCATAAGGATTTCCCTATTGGTCTGGGTCGAGCCTTGTTCGAAAACACAATCCATAAATACATGCTAATTTCTAAGGAGATAGGAAGTGTATAACGTGTTTATCGATTTTGTTTAAAGATTTAATCAATTATCAAATTGTTTAAGTGGATAAAGTGGTCACACTTGCTTCAATTCATAGCGAAATCGACGGATAGAAACTGACCGAATTCCCGATATCCTACCCCGTATTACTGTAGGCTATAAGCACAGTGACCTACAGAGGGCGCTATCACAAACAAGTACTGGACGAACCGATAAATTCCCGGGTATTGTAACGCCCTTGATTCCACGAAGCCCGAAGGGCAAGTGGAATATCACCTTGTGAAAGTGCTACAGGTATTCACCGAAAATAGAGTGAAATATTTGTTTTATTATATCACTGTCTAGCTAAACATCCCTAATATTATTAAGTCATTAAGTCTTCAGATATTTTTACGAATCTACTCGGTTCGTCTGCCATTTTGACTTACACTGAACTAAATTATTTACACTGAACGAAAACAAATTCTTTGAAAATTCCCGGGAGCATGGGATATCGCTAGATATCTCACGGTTGTCTTATTTGATTAGCATTGCCATTGAATATCGCCAGATATCCCACGACATGTGACCCGGTTTTGAACAATCATACTGTCGCTAGCTAGATAGTGATATATATAGTGATGAATTATTATATCGCTATCTAGCTAGCGACAGTATGATTGGTCAAAACCGGGTCACATGTCGTGGGATATCTGGCGATATTCAATGGCAATGCTAATCAAATAAGACAACCGTGAGATATCTAGCGATATCCCATGCTCCCGGGAATTTTCAAAGAATTTGTTTTCGTTCAGTTCAGTATATCTGCCCGCTGATGAAAATATAAGTTTTTACAAACCGGCTTTATGTACCCGTAACACGTCCAAGTATGGGATAAAACTTCATATTTACTGTTTTTGTGTTGTGTTTTTTGTTTTGGGACTGGTCCATTGTAACATTTCTGATATCATTTATGGAATGAACAGCATGTATGTTTGGTCGGGGTCTAACCTTTATTTATTACAGAACATAAATGTGAAATTAAAGATATCATTGGACCGTGGCGAACAGTATATTATGGAGTCATTGTGTCCTATATTTTGATGTTCAAATATCAAAGCCGAATGTCAACTACAAAGTGGTTTATCCGATGAAAACTAAAAATATCGAGAGCCATCATTTACTGTGCGTCCGCCATCTTGAAAGCGAATATACACTTTACGCGCATATCCATCAGTCGTCAGTAGCGTTACTGTATGTGTATTCACAATTACATTTCTACCAACTTTATCCCCTTAAGGGTAACTTAATGTCGTACCTCAACGAACACCCTGTATATGTTATATATATTAAAGCATACATAGAGATAAACATACATTAATCCAACATTCAGATTGTGTTTTGAAAATTATCTTTAGAATCGAGACTGCTTAGGTCCTAGAGGATCTAAACCTCCTCTGGTAATAAAGGTACACGGTGGACCAACGGTAGCCACTCGCGATTCCTTCTTGATGCTCTTCCAGTTTTGGACGAGTCGAGGATGGGCAGTTTTTGATGTGAACTACAGAGGAAGCACGGGATATGGAAGGGAGTATAGGCAGAAACTATATAAAAAGTAAACGCCATATCGTATATTTTACAGTGTATTGTTTCTATTCTATTACATATACGAGTGCGTAAAATTGATCATATTTGTACAAATGAGTAAAAAACTGGATTTAAACATATATTAACTTGGTTTTGAGGAGATGATTCAGGTTTCTATAATTTCAAAAATGAAAAAATTATAGACGATTTATTTCGCTTGGTTCCGGTTGCGTCTTACTTGCTACTACCATGTTTTTAGTTTTGCTTGTGTTAATTCTGTCTCCAATATAAGTACGGAGCAGCAAAGCATATGTCTACAATAGATTGTATCCCTTTTGGTGTTTAGTTGGGGCGTATATGATGTTGAAGATATCGTAAAGGGAGCGCTACATATAGTGAAACTAGGCCTTGCCGACAGAGAAAAATTGGCTATATCTGGTGGATCTGCAGGGGGATATGTTGTTCTGTCTGCACTAACATTTTACCCCGAGATCTTCAGGGCAGGTATGTTCAAAGCAAATGAGATAAAGATCAGTATTAAGATTTAAAATTATGTAGCATTACCTCATGGGGGATTGCTACAATATGCATACGTTAGGTTTCATTGGTATAATCTTTACAATTGCAAATATATTTTAAGTATAACATGGATTCCAAACAGATTATCGTGTGTTGTTTTTTATAATTGTCGACAACTGTGATATCATCATCTACATGTATCTCAGGTTATCGAGTGCAAAAGTAACGCCAATAATTGATTTACACAGGTGCAAGCTATTATGGTATATCGGATATGGAACTTCTTGTTGGTCAAACACATAAGTTTGAAAGTCGATACGTTGATATGCTGATAGGACCATGGCCGGAAGCCAATCAAACCTATTACGAACGCTCTCCAGTTTACTTTGCAGACAATCTGAATGCGCCTATCATATTTTTCCATGGGGAAAAAGATTGGGTACGGTAAATAACGTCCTTCACTTGACTACGTATATTTTGTAATGATAAGTCTCGGATTCTCGTACTATGCAAATAATCGTTACCAAGTATACTTTATATGTTTATGAATTATAAATTCAGAGTTTAATCAGACGCCAGAACAGCAAAAATGAAAATAATAGGTGGGTTAATTACATTTGGACTTCATTTAAGGATGCAAATGTCCCATTAAATTACCGTTGGGCAACATAAAAATGTATCCAAAGACACAATATAGATGGCGCTTTATATTGGAGATATTGTATTTTGCGTTTTTCAAAATGACCACCAAAAATATAACAGAGATGATATCTTCGCAAAAGTGTATGCTACAAAAACAAGATCGATGTCAAAATCTTAAATTATGCGATTGGAGAATCAACTTAATTACATATAGGTGTCAGGTTTTGTGAAATAATAGTTTTCACTTTATGTTGGAAATATACGCATTTATTCAAAATGGCCGCTGAAAATATAACAAAGATTGTGTCTTTGCTAAACCTACTATCACACCAAACTAGTTCTCACTACGTTCTCGATAACGGGCTTCAACTGTGTACGAACGGACTGGACCTACTAAGAACCGTTTGGGATCTATTTACAAACTTCATCGAACGTACTCGAACGGGTAGGTCCTCTAGAACTTAGACAATGCTCAAAATGTTCTCGTGGTCGTCACGTTTTACAATTAGAACGAGTGACAACGTACTAACGACGAGCTGGACGTACTACGAACGGAACCGTCGTACTTCAATCCTACTAGGGACGTTTTAACAACGAGTTGAACTGTCTAAGGACGTGTTGAGAACGAGGTAGAACCAATTGCAAACGGGTTTAAACTGATTTAGAACGTATTTAACACTGCTTATGAACGAGTTAGCAAAAATATAGCTATCACACCAAACAAGTTGCCACTGCGTTCTTCAAAACTGGTTTTAAACTGTGTGCAAACGGAATGAACGTAGCTGCAACTTTCTAAGGTCTATTTACGAACTTTATGAACGTTCTCAGACGGGAATGTGATTTTAGAATTTTGAATCGATTCAAAATTCGATGGCGACCATACCGTTCGGTAATCAGGTCATGTTGACCTTCTAGACTAAGGGACGCGTTCTACTACGTTGCACACCGACGTGGTGCGACCTGAACGAACTGCGAACGAGATGGACGTATTGAAGACTGTTTAAGAACGAAGAAGCTAATTATTTCAGACATATTTCCCGACCACAGCCAGATTGAACCCGTTTTACGACGTTTTCGTAGGACTGGCAAGAACGGGTAAGAACTAGTTTGGTGTGATAGGGGGGTAAGGAAGATTGTATCTTTGCTAACGGAGGTTGTATCTTTGCTTCATGGCATAGCTTTTTTACCTTAACACGACAGAATAGCATGTGTATTTAGCTTTCAATGTTTTTAACTCAGATTCTCGTAATACAAGAGACAAGAAACACCAGTCTCTTGCATAACTTGCGTAAACATGCATCTGCAATAGTAGTGCAACTTTAGTTGATGCAATGCACCATGCATAAGATAGGAATATGATAGATAGAAACTGTTGAGGACAGACATACCACAGTGGTTAGAAGAGGTATATCCAGAATTATGGCAATGTCTATACTTTCTATACATTGTCTAAACTTTCTATACTTTCGATCTCCTTTTTCATACAATCTGCCTTCGACGTTTCTATACTTTCTATACTTTCGAACTGCTTTTTCATACCAACTGCCTTTGACAAATCAGATGTCTATAGTTTCTATACTTTCGAAATGCCCTTTCATACTAACTGCCTTTGACAAAGCATATGTCTATAGTTTCTATACTTTCTATACTTTCTTTCTGCTATTTCCCAGAACTGTCTTCGACATATCAGATGTCTATACTTTCTATACTTTCGATCTGCTTTTTCCCATAACTGTCTTCGACAAATCAGATGTCTATAGTTTCTATACTTTCGAAATGCCCTTTCATACTAACTGCCTTTGACAAAGCAGATGTCTATAGTTTCTATACTTTCTAGTATACTTTCGATCTGCTTTTTCCTATAACTGTCTTAGACAAATCAGATGTCTATAGTTTCTATACTTTCTATACTTTCTATCTGCTATTTCCCAGAACTGTCTTCGACATATCAGATGTCTATACTTTCTATACTTTCGATCTGCTTTTTCCCATAACTGTCTTCGACAAATCAGATGTCTATAGTTTCTATACTTTCTATCTGCTTTTCCCCAAAACTGTCTTCGGCAAATCAGATGTCTATAGTTTCTATACTTTCGATCTGCTTTTCCCCATAACTGTCTTCAGATGTCTACAGTTTGTATACTTTCTATATGCTTTTCACAAAACTGTCTTTGACAAATTAGATGTCTATAGTTTCTATACTTTCTATCACATTGTCGTTTTACAATACATTGAGGCAATTCACCAAAATCGAAAGTGACCAAGAAACTTATGACGTACGTCACATATTGTTTTACAATGTATAGAAAGTATCGAAAGTATAGACATAGGGATTTCACCAAAATGTAAAGTATAGAAAGTATCGAAAGTATAGACATAGGGAATTCACCAAAATCAAAAGTATAGACAGTATAGAAAGTATAGACATGTATAGACTTTAGAGAGTCCAATCGTCTAGGACTGAAAAAAAGTATCATTTAAAAAAAAGCAGTTCGAAAGTATAGAAAGTATAGAATATGCCATAATTTTGGATATACATGGGTTAGAAAGGTTCAGAACTCAGAAAAATTTTAAGGGCTACATAGTGCATAGTACGTCAGTATTGCAGAACCCTCTTCATCTCCTCTGACCAAATCATACACAATGCCCCTGAGTCTTCTACCAATATCCGACTAAGCATGTAATCCAAATCCCTAGCCAAAAAAGTGATAAAAAGTGAAAATGTTTATTAATTGAAAGACATTAATTTGGGTGACCATTTGGTCAACTGTACCAATAATATTTAGACAATATAATATCTAAGGTCTAACATAGTATAATGCAACCATATTATTTTGAAGAGATATCTACGTAATAGCTAATTCCTGCTCTGAGCAGCCACTTATAATTTTCTGAGACATGAATCAGAAAAAGAATACCATCTTCATTTGAGTGTAATATAGCCCTAATTTGAAGGGATCAGAAAATAATTCCGTAATCCTACATTAGGTAGCCAATTTTAAATGTACCAGGCCGAATCAGAAGAACGTTACAAAATTTGCAATCCACTCTAAACTGCCTTTCATTTGAGTATGATAAAGCTATACCATCAGACAGATCTCAAAATTAACACAAATTACTGCTTTCCGCCCCCCCCCAAACATATCCCCTGTGGGTCAGGATGAAACACGCGGAATATATGACACATAGATAGATGTTGTGAATATATTTATGACGTGCACGGACCTGGGGACAATTCGGGAAATGCGGGCTTATCTCAGCTTTGAACGTTAATCTCTGCCTTATTTAAAAAGGCAACTATGTGTTTTACATATCATTTTGAAGTATTTTTTATTCGCATTTCAATGAAATTATTTTTCCTTCAAAATTTTGATGGGATCCAACACATTTTTAAAGTTAAATATACTCCGACATCGTCAAATACGCTGTAAGACGTAACACTTTACGCTTACAGGGCTCGTTGAAATTGAGATAACTTTTGAAATAATGATCAAAATCCCACTTTTTCACAATTTATTCAATGGAACATTTGCATTTATGACGTCACAATTGCTTAACGGCTACATTTCAAATTATCTTATACGAACGCTTTTAAAATTTTCAAAATTGTGTAAGGTATTGAAGGCGAATGGGACGAGCAATAAGTTTACCTTCATTTAACCTTCTAATTTAGGTCTGATTTGAAAGAAAATTTAACTGCACAATATTGTCATGGCGAAATTTACAAAACAATAACCGGTTTGTTTATTTTGCAAATAATATCAAAATAAGAGCTGGTTTTCGAGACTTGAAAAAATGTGACGCATCGATTTTTTACCACAAATTCCATACATATCAATTTTTACTAACGCCCCAAGTGGATTTCTTGACCGTTTTTCAAAATTCAAAAACATTTTAGAAATATTGTCCTCGAGATCTTGCTACCCTGTAAATTTTGTAATGATTAGATAAGGATAAAGTATTTTATTTTTAGGTTGACTAAACTTGTAAAAAATGTGACGCTTGTCGTTTTTGACGTTGTAAGGCTGTTTGCGCCCTATACTGCTCATTGTTTTGTTTTGTTTTTTGACGCCATAATGTTAAGCTAATTGTCCCCAGTTTCGTGCGACGTGTAACCAAAAGGAGAGGGAGTTGTAGGATAAATCGGGGGAGTTTTTCACGCATTTCGCTAAATAAGCATTTTATTGACTATAAGATTGCACCATATAATCCCCCAAAAAATATTTCTCATTTTCAGGGATTATCTTTGGATTAACACCAAGGTATTTTCATTTTTCAAACTTCAGAGGACTGAGAATCAATGATCGCTTTTGAATAATATAAAAGCTGTTTTAAATAGGTTTCACGTATGCCAATAATTTCTCAAATTGTTATGGTACCCCTTCCTTAATCCAGAGAATTTTCTCCTTGAGGAATTTTCCATAGTAAACCAATGGTAAGTTTCCGAGCATATTTTGAGATAACATGAAAGTAAATATTTAAAACACACCTTTTTTGGTTGCGAGATAAAAATCAAGATCTTCTTGTATTGGATAAACTTTCTTAAAATTTCTGTCTTGATGAGTATAGGTGTATTAAGTGTATCCCAAATTGATCCGATCCCAATGTAGAGTAGTTGAATACGTTGCCTTATGAAAAATAACTTACCATAACAATTGGGTAATATTGATGGGAAGGGATTCTAGGGACAGGAGGAAGGGATTTAGGGGGATTGACAAAGGAGTAATAAATTGTGGGGTTCAATACTGGGGCAAAAAGCACTATAATACTGACGATATTTTGAAAATTGCCATATATGGTACCTCTGAAATAATATGTATTGTATATACATGGGCATACATATATAGTTATTTGTGAATCTAATTATTGTTAAATGCTTTTCCCGTTTATTGGCAGTTTGTTCCTGTAAACCAGGCCGAGATTATGTATAATGCTCTATTGGCAAAAAATAAAACGACGTCTCTGACAATTTTTCCAGGTATGGATTATTTATGCTATTGCTAATGTACAATCTATTTGCTCTTTTATTGTTTCGTTATGATAATATTCAAATTGTATCTATTCACACGATTTTTACTGGATTTAGAAGAATACAAACTCTGGGATAAGGAAAATATGTACCAATGTAAAAATAATGGTCCAAAATGATTAACACAAAAAAAGCTTCGAGAAAAACAGCAACCTTTATATTGCTCTGATCTGAATCAAAAGTTAAAAAGAGTAAAACAAACATTTTATACACTGGCAGACAGGTAGAGTGTCAATCTCTTATTTTTAATCCAAAACCGACACTAATGCCAAATCATGGTCACATGGACATATTTTCTGATTTCTTATACGTATGGTATAAGTCATGAAGAAGGTATGTATCTTATCGCAAAAATTAAAATTATGCTAAATTCAAATCCGTGTTTTGGTCTATATATGCATGGACAAATTCGTAAGCCATGAGCCATGGCTATTTTGAAAGAAAAAATATAAAAATATCTGTGATAAGACCCATTTTCCCCTGTGCCCTAATGCTGGAAGGAACTGAGGTTCTAAATACAAAAGTATGTGCCGAGTGCGAAACCGGGTTCCCAATTAGGTAATGGTAATGGTAATACCCATCTTCTAATTTATATTCATATTAATGTATGCTTGTTTCTTGTAGATGAAGGCCATGGATTTGTAAAAGCAGGGAATAAAAACGCAGCATTAGATGGAGAAAACTACTTTTTTAGTAAAGTATTTGGTTATGAAAATATGGATTGTGATAAAGGAAAGGTAGTCCAACGTTACATAAACATCGGACCTAAATTACTAATTGCTTTTTAAGATTTCCCCTTTTAATATACCCCAAAAACAATACAGGAAGCTTAACTTGAAAGCGTAACATGAAATTATGGAGCTACAGACAGTGATTCTGTACTTTACCATTGACATTTTTTAATAACTGTATATTGAACGCTGACTATCTTTTCACCTTGTTTTAGTTACCGATTGACAACTTGTAACACCTGGGTTATTAACGCATGATGGAGGAATGACGTATAATTGTGCCATCCTTATTAAAATGAGATGTATGATCCTCAAATATAGTCTTTGAAAGACCGAATTTTTCGTTTTGAATGGAAATAGAATTGTAAATTAAACCTTTTGCAGAACATTAATTATTTAGTTTAGTGTTATTATTGAATTACGCGTCACCCTCATTATTAAAACATTAAGTAAAACAGCGCAAATACTAAGGCTCAATCGGTATATTCGACCCATGATGAGTTGTTTCCAGACATTTGCATGAGTGCGACAGCACAGTACGAATACAAGTCCTAGAAAAAACGTATGATAGGATTATGTGGAGAAAACAACTTGGTTCATGACGAACAGAATGGTTCCCTTAAAGGTAAAAATTGCCAAGACCATATGTACTCGCTATCATCAATCATTGACAACAGGATTTAAGGATAAAAAGAGAACGTTTGTTTGTTTCGTCGACACCCAACGGGCATACGACAAAATCGATAGGCAGTTGCTGTGGTACAAACTTAGTAAATTGGATATTTCTAGACAGTTGTGTGACCATAAACGGAAGATTATCTGGTTTCTGTGATGTTGATACCGGTTTAAAACAGGGCTGTCTGCCATCGTGCTCGCTCTTTAATCTGTACATCAATATGACATCGTAGAGGATATTAAATCTCTTGACCTTGGAGTTGATTTAATGGTGAAAAAGTGGTAATACTTCTCTATGCGGATGAAATTGCACTTATCAGTGACTCCGAGGAATCCATACAGCAACAAATATTAGAAGCTTTAGCAAGATGGTGTAGCAAATGGAGAATAAATAAAAAATAAAGCTATTCAACGAACACTATTTAACTTTATGTATAACAACAATACTATCAACGTATCATCAGACAAAAACAAGTATCTTGGTCTTTTGTTCAACGAATATTTATACTTTACTCAGATGGCTACATCTAGAGCACAGTCAGCCAGTAGAGCTCTAGAATTAGTAATTGCCAAGTACAAGACAAATGGTGGAATGCCATTTAAGTGTTAAAATACAAGACTGTACGATAGTCTACTCACCCCAGTATTTGAAAACGGAGCAGAAGTCTGGGGATTTAAGGAGTTTGCATGTATAAATACTATTTCCACAGAGCCTACGCCCAACCTACGTTTTTACAAAAGTGTATTTTTGGCCCATTAATCCGACACTATAATAGAATTTAAATAAATGAAAAAAAATAATTAATTAAAGACAATCAGTTTTTTCACCGGTAACTGGCCCCTGTTGTCATAACACAATGTTTCTCCATCAGTTGATGTACACTTGCCAGGTGTGTACGTTGCCATGATCTAGAAACAGACAAAGCAAATTCAAGTAGGTGTGGCGGAAATCTAATTAAATCGATGTTATATACTAGACTTCGGATAATTTACACAGTTTGGGTTGAATAAACGTCTGATTAAGACATCGCTATAAAATTTGATCTAATAATCTGACTTATGCAATCGAAATAAAACAATAATGATTTTCCAATGATTATTTCTTTATTATATGCCTTATAGTCCTAAAGGAATTGACAATTGACACATTTTAATAATTTCCTCCTGTTAAGTTCCACTGTTTTAATTGCATGATTGTATTAGTAGATTTAATACCACTGAACATATTTTTGCTTGTTGACCATCAAACAACATTACCGTTCACTATTTATGTGGGATTACGCGGTAACTGGTCAACTCAACCCCAAGTCAACTCAACCCAAGTAAACTCAACCATTAGTCAAGTCGACCCCAAGTCAACTCAACCATTAGTCAAGTCGACCCCATGTCATCTCAACCCTAACACCCCAGTCACATTTCCTACGGCGACCTTGCGGTCTATCATTTCTGCGGCCAGTAACATTTCTACGCTCGCCGTGGAATTTCTGCGCTCTCATACTTTTGCAGTCACATTTCCCACGGCAGCCGCACGGTGAATTTTAAATTTCTCTTGATAAAAAATACTTTTTTCATTTTATTTACATCGGGACAATTTATAAATGTTATTCACAGTGCTAGCTAGGATGTAATATCAAATGAAAAGTGATCGTGAAACATTGACAAATAATGATTCAATCTTGTTGAGCCAGTTGATTTCTACGGGGACCTCAGAAACTCCGAGTTATAATTTCTACGCCTTACCTGCGGCCTGTAAAAATCTGCATTCGCCGTACGGAGGCCGCAAGGCGAGCGTAGTTTTTCTACGCTCGCCGCAGAAAGGACTATTCTCGGTTTGGAGAACGAAGTTCGTCACTCTAATTGAGCGTTATCCCTGCTTCGGACAAATTTGATTTTTTTACATAATATAGATTTGAATGTCTTCTTTTGAATAGTCATCATTTAATTTGGGTAATATTTCTAGATTTTTCTAGTGAACCACCCAACGTCGCTTTTAAGATTCGTACCACTTTTTTAACTTGATGTATTGCATATTTCCGTAGGTCGAATTGAGAAAAAAGACAAACAAAGTGTACAGGGATATGTCATGAGCATATCATGAAAAAATCCTTTCAATATGTTTTTAAGAAACATTCGAAAATAATTCATTCTTAAATCGTGTCACATTTTCGAGATATTCTCTGACATTCTATACAGATTTATCCAATAGAGGGCCTCCCAAAAGAGTGACTTTAGATTTTTTGGCATTTCACCAGTCATTTATAAAATTGATTTATCATCTATTAATTAGATGTCACCACTTGCTATGAACTACATGTACACGTGGTACGCAAGTGGTGAATATAAGCAAGTCAATAGACTAGGTGCGAGTAGAAATAATCTTGATTTACGTCATTTAATATTCAAAATTCAGTCAAAGTGATGTCATATTTGAAATCTGCATTTAAAAGTACATCTAGAAATATGGTTTCGAAAATTGTTTATCAACTTTGAAAATTTAATTTTTTTTGAAAATGTGACTTCTTGTTCGGGTTGATTCCCCATAGACCCCATGATACAAAATCACAAAAAGTGAAATATCTTTTCTTGTATTGGATAGATAACATTTTCTTTTACTGGACATATTTCAGTTTGCATAACTATTAGATACATAAGGGTTATATGAAAATTGAATCATTAAAACAGATGTGATTTAAGTTAAAGGGAACTTTCTACTATACCCGCCATGCTATCTGACCCGAACGAGCCACCTGGTGGTGAATCTGGTAACTACCTACTCGCATCTGCGTTATTGCTGTGAGCTGGAGAGGGTGTAATTATATCACTGACTTCTATCCTACCACGTGATTACGTTTTAAAAGAAATATGGGGCCCGCATTCTGATTTATCAGAGCCCCTCTTTACCTAACGCTTTTGAGAGAACTATTCCAAAAGGATAGTAAAGGCTGTGGATCTCACAATGTGTGGCCCGGGGCTACAGTGAAGTTGCAAATGGAGCAGGTATTCTCTATTTTTTCGATGGGGCTTTTCTTCTAATAATACACTGAAAACTACCTGATGAATTTATACAATATATTGTAGAACACTTGGAATAAACATGTATGTAAAATCGAGTATACATTCTGAATCAGAAATATTGAAATAAACAAACGTCCTCCCTTCACGGCTTCACTGTAGCCTGTACCCCTTTTAAAGTAACTGGAAAATGTAATTGTAAATGTTATAACATTTTCGAACCTTTACTGTATAAGCTACGTTCACACCAACGGCGCTTTGATGGCGCTTTAATAAGACGTGCAAAGCCGCTTCGCACGCCGCATTAAAGCGCCATCAAAGCGCCGTTGGTGTGAACGTAGCTTTAGTGACTTGAACAAAGGACATTTAGCTTCTCCGATATAATTCACATTTTTCAGAAATTCACATCAGTTGATTACGCTGTGGTCAACCCAGTTGTCCGAAACCCAGTTCTCCGAAACCCAGTTCTCCGAAACCCAGTTCTCCGAAACCCAGTTGTCCGAAACCCAGTTCTCCGAAAATTAGGGGATCTTATCAAAAAATACAATTTCTTAAAACGAATCTTGTCGCAACCTCTGCGAATCACGACAGCATAACATTTGATTCACGTTGACATCATTGCAAAATTAGGCTAAATATGCTAAGTCAAGACGTTAAAGGCCGAGTTCCGGGAAATATTAACACAATTGAACATGTTGAACAACTAATATACATACTTTTTGTGGCTTGGTTGAATGGCTATTAATCCCAAGTTCCGATGTGCCTCATCAAGAAGACGATAGAGTGACAAAGATTATGTCAAGCGGAGTTTATAATTTTTGTGCAAATTTTCTTCTTGGATCGAAAAATTTCATTTTAATTCGATTAACTTACGATAGGTGGCAAAAGGTCTAAAGGTAGGTCACGTGACACAAAACAACGAATCATATGACACGAAACAATGATTCATTCGCCAGATGGCGCAGTTAAATGAGGTCAATTTTACGACAAACGAAAACCGTTTAGCTCAGCTTCAATTTTGCTCTCGCAGTCGAAGGAAACTGACACTTCTTTCGTTGATATCTAGGTGAGTGATTTTTTTCAGGCTCCGGTATTTTGACAAAAGTAAGTTCACGTCGTAGCCATTCTTAGGGGCAGGTTTGAGGCACCAACGATTTATTTTGAAGTTTTTCTAAGGAATTATTCCCGATTTCCGGTATTGCCCCTTTAATTAGCCCACGAAAGTTCATGGGTAACTTGAGAACTACAAAATACTACCAAATACTTTTCGAACGTACAATAGCAATATTTCTCACCTAACGTCTTCATAGTTTTAGGAACGTATTTTAAACGCATGATAGCCAAATACATCAAGATACTATATCTGCCTAAATGAAGTTATCTAGTGTTTACAAAGTTTTGAAATATATTTTATCCAGATCCATCAGAAATTAACTTATCCAATACATTACTTTACTAGTTCTAGTATCTTGCATGACTCGTTCATAAGAATTCTTTAATTCTACCTCGTTCCCAATACGTCCTCAGACAGACAAGAAATTGAAGTCACACCCGTTTGTTTACGTGGCATATTTATACGTATACGCACTTTCTCTGATTATTGTCAAACAAATACATTTCTAGCCTTGCCCAAGTCGGTCTCTTTTACTTATCTTGATTTCTATTATGATCGTAATAATTCAAGATCAGATTAGTAAAAAAAA